GCTCCAGTGACTCGATCTGTCTTTCGTGCTGACATCTGAGTCGTGTCCATGCTCGGGAAACATGGTAAGAAAGCACGGATATCCCTTGCACGTCTTGCGATGTCGTCTGTCAAAGTCACCGGGGTGTTGCGGTTTGGTACCAGTTCACGCTCATGGCAACGACCGCATGTGTGATAGAGTGAAGAACTCGCACTGCATTGTTCGGAACACTATATCAGTCAAGAGGCATGAAACCCTTGGAAACTCCAATCTACCCTTATGGAAACCATGTCCCGGAACCCCGCCCCAGGACTATCTGTCCGTCTCGGACCACCCGCTTCCCCGGATGTTGACAGCATTCTGATCGTGAGGTACATATTTTCCCCTGTCGATTTGTGGCTTCGCAGCCACCTTTCCTGGATCGTGAAGTATCTGAAGCAGGAAGGCTTCGACGAGTGAAGTCCGTCAGGCCGGGGTGGTGGTTGATCCGTCGAACGCTTCTTATCACCCAAACAAAATTCCGAACATCTCTTATGAGGTCTAATCCAATACAATTGCAAAAGTAGTGCCTCTCGGTCGTTTCGTAGTGTCGCGTCGCTGGTTGTCCTGTTGTAGGGCCTCACGCCCTCTCAGGCCGCATGTGTTGCAGTCTTTTTCGGCATCCACCTCGACGAGGCTGGAGGGTGCTCGGTTTCTCATCCGTACGTAGTGTTGCTACCGCTTGTTTAAGTCAGCTTGAGGCTATGTTCATAGGTGAATCCACGTCATCTTACCTTGGACTCATCGGTGCGTGACCCAGGTTGGACTGATAGTAGGGCCGTGGCATACCCAGCTGAGGTAGCTTGCGCCAACTTCGTTCCCGCACTTCTCTCATATAGGAGTCTTGCTCTGGACTTCTGTGGAAACGTCTTGAGTCATCTTCAGGTTCTCCGCCATAGAACCGGTAGACAGCGAAACCGCAGCAGACGAGCGCGCCTGCTCCGAGGATAACGAGAAAGATGATGAGGGCTGGGGCGATGTCGAAGCCCATGTTGCCGTTTCTTTTTTGAAGATACATTGTGACTGTGGAAGAAGGGTATATGCTGTGGTACAGAATCTCGTGCGACGGGAGCGAGTGATATAGGGATGGAGTAGTGTTTGCTGTGATGACACGCTCACGATCAACAAAGGTAAGGCAAAGAGTGAGTCTAATGCGCGGAGGTTCCGGAAGCTGCAGGAGTGACAAGAAAAAGACCGAGGGGATGGTCAGCGTTGCGCTGACGACGACGGAATAGTATGGTGTGATGCGGCAACGTCCCACTGGCACCGAGTTGCGAGACCCTGTGTGCCACGATCACTTACCTATATACCGTTACAGCTATCGCTTCGGGAACCGCAAGGTCTTCCAGATCGTGCATCTGATGCGAACCAAAGACCCAATCGGTTGCTAGGAGGATGCGACCCTTTCACCATGCTATTGGCTGCGTCACATATTCACGTGCCTGGGCAGCCAGTAAAGCTGCGTTACCCCACCTAATCGACCACGTCTAAGACCAGTTGGCACTCGGAAACGCGTAACACCCCAGCTGCGTCTGCTGCGTAGACACGCGTGGAAGTGTGGTTTCCGGACTGCCCGGGGAGGCTATGTTGACTAGAAGGTTTCGGACCTGAACTTGGCCCGACTCTTGGAGCCTCTGGTTTCCTTAGCTTTGTATACTGCGATATGTCCTCCTTTTTCTTCTGCCGCTGGGCGCAATTTTGATGCGAATATTTCTGTCTTTTGGGGCTGTGGATGTGAATGTTCGCTGGGGACGCCTGTGGTGGTACGGTCTTACTTAGCCTTGGTGACGCGTCATCCGCACCTTCCAGGCATGCCGAGCGTCAGATTCCCCACCTCCTCAGGCCAACAGCAAGAGCATCAGCTTTGTTATATGAAGATGCGACACTCAGTGACGCAAAATTTGTTCCTGGACGATGCGCATCGTTCGCCGATCGTGAGGCACGTCAGAGCGACAAATTTAGCACAACAGCGATGACGTCGCACCGTCCCTCGCGCTCGCCCTGACGATCCCTTGAGCCCAAGCTTCTTACACCTTCGACGTCCTTCTTCTGGTCCTCCTCTTTGGCAATTTGGTTGTTGAGATGAGATTTTACTGATTCCCATGGTTGCGATACACTGAGGCCAGGGCTTACATTCGCCGCGTGAACCTCTTTGGCGCAGATGCGCATCCTTCAGTAGCAATACATGATGGTATCCAGGTATGCGCTCCAGCAAGGGCGGGCGTGGTCGTCGCGCGACGGGCGCAATGGTTCCAAGGACCCCAAGCGCCAGTCGCGCAGGCGACGTCCATCCTACCTGTCGCAGCAAGAGAAAGTTAATGGGTTCTCTTATCAAGAAAGATAGTCGATGCTACCTTTCTTCTGTTGAGTCTCCAGGTTAATCTGTTATGGCCGGACACACACCGAGCGACGAGATTCTGGACCTGGAATTGGTAATGGGCATTTACACGAACAGGCCCTCCAAGAATCCAGATCAGGATATTCAGGAATTAGCAATCAGCAATCAGCAAATCCACTCTTCGAAAAGACATCAGGAGACGGCATTGTTGGGCAACTCAGTGCTTAAAGAATCGAGGCTGCATCGTGGTAGGAGTACGGTGTAGATGGAATGCCTCTCTAGATGAGTCGCACTTCGTGTGACCTGAGACGTTTCAGAGATGCACGCACTGCCAGCCTTGTGCAAGAGTTGCATCGCCACAAAGTGGGTTTGACGTTCGGCTTCGCGGTCCGTGATTAATCTATATACATTAAACGCCCTGCGGTTTTGACGCCACCGGATATAATCGACTCGGATGCAGCAACACTTGCAGCAACATTGCAAGTATGTCCAAGACCCCACGGGGTATTAGTTACACTGCATTTCGGTAGCCGTAGGGCTTACATGACTGCCGTAGATCCGTGCTGATTCCCGTGGGCTGCTGAGTTGCGCCATCAGCGCAATGTTAGGCATGGTATCATTCCTCCTGGCTGTTGAGCACCTGAGTATGCAGCTTGATAAAACAACAACAACAATATCCTTCGTTGAGTCGCCAATACACCGAGAGGTCCACATCGCCCAGAGTTTAAGTAAACAAAGTACCACAACGTAGTGGCTGAAACTCGCACGTGGTTGGTGACCACCTGGACGGCGGCAGTGGCCGCAGCCGAGGATAGATTGCTCATCACCACTTCAAGGACAGCACTGCGTCTCATATATTAATACTGGAGTCATTGAGATTCTCCTAGCCTATCGCAGTGGTTTCACGCCGTCACCAGACTGGAAACATCGCTGGGCTTCCAATGATCCAAGAGCTCGACGACCAGGGCGTGTTTCCACGAGCGGATGGCGCTCAACTCAGGAACCAGGTCGACTCGTGCATGGAGATGAATTTTTTGATTGCAAGGCTTCGCCAATACCTGGTCGTGGGAAAACGTGGGCGTCAGTAGAAGGCCGCTAGAAGACTTCAGAGGAGTATATGAAGGGGCGTTAAGTCCCAGGTTGAAGGTCACTCTCGACAGCAAGCCCATCACTACACAGCTTCAACAATCGCTTTCTACAAGTCATTCACTTTGAATACCATCAACATGCTCTCTTTCCTCCTCCTTCTCGCGCCCCTTGTGGCAGCCCACGGCCACGTCGACAAGGTCGTTGCCGACGGCAAGGAATACCAGGGCTGGAACGCTGCTCTCAAGTACCAGAGCCCCATTCCCGCCACCGTAGGGTAAGTGACTCTGATTGAGCTGCATGCGAGACATATACTGACTCAGTCCCAAAAGATGGCAAGCCGACAACCTTGACAACGGCTTCGTCTCCCCCGACAGCTTTGGCACTGCTGCCATCGTCTGCCACAAGCAGGGCAAGAGCAACGGTGCCTACGTTACCGTCAAGCCCGGCAGCAAGGTCACCTTCAAGTGGGACACCTGGCCAGTCAGCCACGTTGGTCCCATTCAGGAGTACATTGCGCCCTGCAACGGCGACTGCGGCTCCGTCAGCCCCTCTGACCTGAAGTGGACCAAGATCCAGTCCAGCGCCTGGAAGTCAGGAAGCAACCCAGGAAAATGGGCCACTGACGACCTCATCGCCAACAACTTCGCCTGGGACCTCACCTTCCCCAACGTCGCCCCTGGCAACTACGTTGTCCGCCACGAGATCATCGCTCTGCACGCTGCTGGCCAGACCAACGGCGCCCAGGCGTACCCCCAGTGCGTCAACTTCAAGGTTGAGGGCTCGGGAACTGCTAAGCCAAGCGGCGGTGTTGCTGGTACTAGCTTGTACAAAGTAAGATCTTCCACTTGAGTCGTATGATGCAATATCGCACATGTGCTAACGAGATGATTTAGGCCGACGACGCTGGTATCAAGTTCAACGTTTTCCAGTCCTTCACCAGCTACCCCGTCCCCGGCCCTGCTGTCAACAAGCTTGCCAAGCGCCACCCCAAGGACCTCGAGTACTAGATACGAACACGGATAATGAGATATGAGATGTCTGGAGGGCATAGGATGAACTGAATTATTCATGATTACATACTTCTTTGGGGTTGCTCGTTAAAGCTTGCGAGACGGTGTATATAGAGCATTGGTGGAGTGTATATAGCATTTTGGAATCACAGTGCGTTGGCTTTGGATCCTGATGTATTAAGATGGCACTCAGTGACTTGTGATCGCATGTGTAGGAATTCAATTAGCTAGCCCGGTGATGATCAGTCGAGTTGGGGATATATAGTAAAGGGATGTGTTCAGAAGATTGTGAAACATGTGAAGAAGCACTTTTCGCCCCAGCGTAAACTCCGGCCTGTGTCATTTCTCGCACCGAATTTACGCGCTGAACGTACTCAATGCCGCTAAGCATGGTCGGCACCGTAACGCTCCACCTTCTGGACATCTCCACAAACCGAATAATGCCGCGCTCTTCTTAGTGTTGCATTGAGGACATGCTTGATCCCGGTGCTCCACAGGTTCCCATCCCAAATCAATGGTCTCGTCTCTGAGACGATGTTCATTGCCTAAGCCGCCCACTTCTTGAAGTCTTTCATTGTGCTTTCTTCTGGCATGTTCCCGTGCCATGTGTTTCTTGAGGCTGCTACTAAGCTCCTTTTCTGGCCTGGGGCGCTTCGTCCTGTTTAAAGCTTGGGCTCCCACACTCTCATCTGCAACTGGTCGCTTGAGCGACTCAGAGCCAGATTGTTGACGATTGAGGCGGTCTTGAGCAGCCCTGGCCTGTCGTTCTTGAGCAGCCGCAATGACCAGAGCCTCTCTTTCTTCAGCAGCTCGCTGTTTCCTGGCAAGTCTTTGTCTCTCTTCACTCTCGTCCGATGTCGGTTCTGCTGACTGCGTGTCATCGTCTTTGTTGGGTCGGGGTAGTTTCTCCTGTTGCTTTCTTAGACGCTCTCGGGCTGCTGCTTCTTCATCTGCGGCAAGTTTTCTTTCTCTCTGGGCTCTCGCCCAGTCTGCCTTGATGCGTGTCTCTTCTTCGTCTCGTGCCAATCGTTGTCGTCGCCGTTCTTCTTGGAGTCTCTCTCGCACACGCAGTGCTTCTTCTTCTCGTTGGCGAATCTCTTCCTCTTTCTTGGCCTGTTGTTCTCGAAGAGCCTTCTCGCCCTCCATACGCTTGGCAAGACGTCTTGCAGCTTCCTTGGCCTTTTCTTCCAATACCTTCTGTTTCGCGTTTTCGATTTTTACTTTCTCTTCCTCAATCTTTCGCCGTCGTGCTGCGGCTCTGGCTTGACCCTGCTCGTTTTCCCGTTGCTCATCGTTCCATTTGGCGAGGTTAACTCGATAGACGTCCCATTGCTTTCGTATGTGAGGATAAGTCTTGTCATATCTGGCGCGCTTCCCATCGCTTTGGAGGGTGTCCCAAGCAATGCCAACCTTATGGTTAAGAATTAGCTGAATGTCATCAGTCGTCTAATGAGAGTACTTACGTTCTGGAAGATCACAGTGCTAGGCTGCGCGCCAGCTCGTCTACTGTCTGGATGATGCGATTGTTGTAATCGCTTGACGCATCTCTCGATTGTGGCGTACGATGCCCGCTCATTGACCCCGAGAACATCATAATAGTCAAGGATGTCTGGTAGCTTTGGTGGCCCATTCATGTTGTCTGTTATTAGAAGGTCGTGAGGTTGATAGAGTGGTGTAGTGGATGAAACGTTGAAGGGTGTGTCTCGAGTGTGTGGTAGTGTAGAAGGGATGGAGGGAGGACAGTAAGTGAGCCTTAAATATGTGACAATCGTGTCTCTTACCAGGCGATCAGAGAGCGGGGTGTCTTGAAAGATAAGAGAGGGAATGCAGAGTGTGCCTAAAGAACGGTGAGATGTATAATAGCGCATGGTGAGATAGGTGTAGGAAAAAACATTGTAAGAGAACATTAAAGGTGAGAGAACAGGCAATTTTTGCTATCTATTTCCCTAGTGGTTCAAAACAATTAGCTAGGGAATTAGAAAACAGTAGATACATTCTACCTTTACCTTTAATGCTCTAGTACACCTTGTAATTTACCGTTACCTTTACCTTTGGGTCGGATGATCACCGAACTGACTTCGGTTTCCCATCTGCACACCGTGACCTTGCATCTCTTTGCCATATTCCATTACTTCTTCCTCCCACTTCTTCAGCGCGTCCAATCCTCCTCCTTCGATGATATTATCAACAGTGCCAGCAAGCTTCATTGCATCTAGAGCGGCCTGGTTCGTGCTCGCGGCTGTATGTGGCCTGAAACCCGCAAGCGCATCGCCGAGCAAGAGTACTCTACCGTTCTCCAACAAGGCAGATGGCGCGATGACATCTGTGATGGCTTGTACGAAGGGTACCTTGGTCTTGTTGACGAGCTCAGCGAACTGTGGTGGAAGTATTTCATTCGCGAGATCCTTTTGCCGTCTCCATACATCCTCTTTAATTCCACCCGGTGGCAGTGTGATATGATGTCTCTTCCCCTCATTGTCCGTCATGAGCTCGACATGCTCCGGCGATTCTTCCTTGTAGTTGACGTACCAGACCCAGTTCAGCAATCGCTCACCGGGTTTGGTGGTCCCGTGTTTCCCTGGTATAGTATACGCTAGTATTTGGATACCCTCCGTGTGATAGAATGGGAACTTCTCGACGAAGACATCGGTGGCAGCCTGTGAGACTTGCGTTTCGGGTACTGTGCCGCGCCATGCTACGTATCCGGCGTATGTTCGCTTGACGTCGGGGAAGTATTCGGCGCGTATCTTAGAGCTGGGTCCGTCGGCTGCGACAACGAGGTCTGCTTCGGTCGAGAACGTCTCTCCGGATTTGTGTTGGACCGTGATTTTGACGGGTTCCGAGAAGTCTAATTGCAGAGATGATGCAAATTTTGGTGCCGCAACACTCGTAACCGTACACCCATACTCATACGATGTCTTTCCCTCGCCTTCTTCTGTAGTGGGTATCTTTGCGTAGTCGGTCTCAGTACCATCGTAGTTGGTTCGTAGGAGGTGGTACAGCAGATCCCAGCTTGTCATGCGCTGCTCCTGATTGTGACGGCTTATAACATGGCCTTCCTTATCGAGATATAGCCGTTGGTGACTCGGGATTGTCAACGTGGTTTGACTTCGGTCGTGCGCTTTGAAGAAATTTTGTACGTCCTGTCCGGCCACCACACCAGCGCCCTGGTCCTGCAGAAGCGGCGTCGGATTGCGTTCGAATATGCGGATGTTGAGATCTTTGCGAAGGCGCTTCAATGCGACACCAGCCAGAAGGCCGCCTAGAGATCCTCCTACGATTACTATGTCCTTGGGCTTTGCCGGTGCCATCGTGATGTGTTGCGAAACGATGAGTATGGGTCAGGGGCGTTGAGCCGCCAGCTCAATATGGTGAATGCTACATTTTAAGCTCTAAGTCAATCATGATCTGCTCAAGGATGCAGTCTTGTATTACCGTTCGATGACATGTTCGAGGATTCAGTCGACGCGGGTGCCGGTCAAGCATCGCGACCAACGGCAAGCCTCGGCAGTTGAAGCTGTGCTTATGTCATCATGACGCGCACTTATCCTCCACTCTCGCCTGGGTGCCCTCACGAAGTCAGAGTAATCACCCGCCAACTGATGTGAACATGGTGCGCTTATGCAAATGAATTTCTATCGTGTTTATTGTTCTTTCTGTTATATACCTATAAAGCAACTGCGACCTACGCACACCTGGGTATCCGCCAAAGCAAGAACTGAACTGAAAGCTAATACAAATCGTCTCCACACGCAACGCTATACCTCCCGAAAGACCCTCGAAGGCGATGCAGAACTCATTGTCACCTCTGGCGCACCGCGCGCTTCGCTCTCTCTCGCCAATTGACTCGCGAACTTACTCTTCGCACGAATCGCCGGACCCTTGAAGTAAAAGATGTACACCGGAAGACAAAACAGCGCTGTCAGGCCAAACAGTACTAGATACGACCTCTGAATACCTAGATTGCTGTACATCGGCTTGGTGTAGAGTGCACACAAACCCGCGAGCAAATCTCTCATGAAGCCGTTGCCACCAGTCGCAGACGCGCTGTGTGGTCCGTAGGCGGCGACCATGTAATCGATGGACGCGTAGTAGATGGAGAAGTTCGCGACTCCAATGAGGAGAGTAGCCATTATGACGCCGAACCAGTGGAGTGGTGGCCCTGTTGCGACGAATGCGCAGATAAGCAGTCCAGCAGGGAGGAGGGTGACGAGCCATAGGAGTGGCTTGAGACGTGCCTCAGGTGCGAGCTGTTCGCCCCGGCTACGTCGAGCATTGTGGCGGGCGATGATGGGGAAAAAGGTGAAGTAGCCGGTGATGTATGACACGGCTAATGCGACGAGGGCAAGCGAGATCTGCGTAGGTGTGAACGACCATTGTTGGAAGACGTAGCCGAAGCTCTCGAAGAAGGAGAATATGAGCGCGTTGGCGAGACCGCTCAGCAGCGAGAGGAAAAGGACGATAGGCTCAGTCAAGAGCAGCTGGTATGGTCGAAACATCGTGGTGGCAACCTCCTTGTAGTGCAGCCTGTCTCTCCATTTCTTGTCTTCGTTCGGTCCCCGGATGTTGACATTACCGATCTTTCGTTCCTTCTTCGCGGCGTTGTCGAGCATAACAGGAGCCAGCGTCTCTTTGGCAATGACCCCATGAAGCAGCTGGGTCGTTACTCCAAGGATGAGCTGGATGTAGAAATTCCAACGCCAATCCAGGAACTGCTCGAGCGGGCCTCCGATAATGCCTCCAATGACTGCGCCGAGACAAGAGAAGAGCGAACACCACAAGACGGCATATTGCTGCTCATCTTTGTGATACATGTCACCGACCATGCCCATGGTGACCGATCCACCAGCCGATGACAAGCCGCCCATGATCCTGCCACCGATGATTCCGGCAAAGCTATTGGACGTAGCGCAAACCAAGATGGAGATGTTTGTCAGCCCAAGAGAGGCTTGCATGACAGGCCAGCGTCCGAATTCCTCAGAGAACGGCGCCCAAAATTCGCAGCCAAATGCATATACGATGAGGAAGGCAGTCATCCCCAACCGGGCGTTTGTGATGCCGAAGTAGTCGTTCAGCAGAGGCACGGCGTTGGAGTATACCGAGGCGTTGAGATTCATGCTGATCTGACAGAATGCGACCACGGTCAAAAGGCACCACTTTCGTTTTGTGGACCAAGCATGCGCGGTGCGTTCGGGCGAGGTGTGTTCGTTGAGGATGGTGGTGGGCGCGACGCCGGGGGCCGATAGTTGTGGCGCCAGTGTGGTTGAACTATCCAAACTGGTACGCGACTGCGCTGGGGAAGAGTTGGTAGAAGCCATATCAGAAGACTTGAAGTTTTCTGTTGCTGTTATTTGTGTGTGGTGTATTGGATTGTATGATAGCAGTGGAAAAGAGAAGTATCGTCAAAACAAGAGCGTATGATAACAGTGTCTTGAGATAACTGTCTTAGAAAGAGTGCACTGAACATGAGAGATTATATACTAGAAAAGTATTATTTCACGATGGTTGCTTAACTTTGGATCGTCGTGAGTCACGTCAAAGTACTGTGGTTCTGTCGTTTCGCACATCGTAGCTCATCCTATGGGAAAGGGTACATACTAAGCGAAAAGCTGGAGACCGACCACATGCACACCAAAACCATGGTACGCAAGGAAAGTCTAGTAATCAGAGTAGAACCGAAGTCATTCGTGTACTCATCCCACTGTATTGCTAGGTTGTATGTATCTGTTAATACTGCACCATGGGTGGGCGTACTCGGCGTCCACTAGACCCCGAACGTCACCTGACTTCGTCTTCCGGCAGGAGTAGTTGAGACACGGTTTCAAAGAAGAGTAGCGGGTTCGCTAAGTGCTGTGTTCAAGATCTTGAGTGACAATCTCTATGCTCAGCGAGCGTCTCTAGTACCAATGATCAGTGCCCAGTAGGTAGCACTTTGAGTTACAGCAGTGTTGTACGCGAGAGGCCCGCTTTCCCACGAAGCAGTATCTCCATAGATCCAAGACTATGGCCTTTGTCGTCCTTCGGCGCATTCTATACAAGGAAAGAGATGAACGAGTCTGCAGCCTACATTAAGATGAAAATATGCAAAGTAGATGATCTAACGTCAACGTAGGCTCTAGGGTGTTCAGAAATTTTCCTGAACGGGGTGGGCGCATGTGATGTCGCGTGGCAACGACACAATGATCGGAGATCATGAATACGTTGCCGGATTGATGAACTGCTCATAGAAGTGTCATAAAGTATTCTTTGTAATGCGTGGCAATGACGGTAAGATTGTGTTTGTGTTTAGCAAGGATAATTCGAGGCCATTTTAGTACAGGACGCCAAGAATACTAGACGTGCGGAAGTCCGTCGAACGTACACAGTACTTGATCATATGTATGGTTTCGGTAATGACATACGATCTTGTTGAGTGTGAGGCGAACACAAAGTCAAAGTGTTAGCGCGTCAGCGCGTCATTTCGCCAATACCACATAACAACGGCAGGGGGTCGGGTTCGCGGGTAGGTACATCACGATATGTAGCGACTCAGTCCAGAACTCAGGTGTGTTTACACGTGAAGTAATTGGGTCTTGAGGTCGTACAACGCTCAATCTCTCGACCGCATCCTTGTACCTGATCACGTTCGCAGAAA